GTCTCTGTGTGATGAGAAAACACGCCTCACTGCCAGATCCGGATACTGCAACTCAGGTGAAATATGGTCTACTGTATGCAGGAAGGCCGTTATCATTATGCTAACTGAATTATTTGCTTTATTGTGTGCTTCACCTCATAAGCACTCGAGATGGTACTATCCATCTCCCCGGAGTCGGATGACCTTAAAGGAAAAACAATCAGGCAGCCAAACAAACCACTTGCTTTGCTTATGCACGTGAACATAAAAGCTGGATTTAATCCCACTGCTTCTTGACAATGGCTTTTAAAATAAATAAATAAATTAGTAAGTTTAGCCACATCGACAACTAAATTCCACTCACAATTAAGTCAACCCAAACAATGGCAAAGGCGGGTTTTCTGACTTTGCCATTTTGCCTTTTGTTTAACATTTTACACGGAGGAATCAAGCTAACAGCTAACAGGATCGGGACTTCTTTAATATCTGCATTTCTAAAATCTAGGACTACTAAACTATAAATTTTTTTACCGTAGTTGTTTAAGGATTAGATTGATCTGTGGGTCGTAGTTGATTAGTGGCAGAGTATATTTATCTCAGTGCATGAAAGAGTAACAACATTTATTTTGTTTGCTTGAGAAAAAGCAGATAAACAATGATTTAGAATAGAAGTGACAAGGAAAAAACAACAAAAATAACTTCATTTCTTCCACTAGGGGGCAGCAGATATGGTGTAAGACTGGATGTGGCAGTTTTCTGATGAAGGGACTAATCCTGATGCTCCATCTGGAGGCTTTAAGGGCAGAAAGGGAATTTGTGAATTTGTCACAATAGTCTACAAAGAGTCAACATGTAGGGGGCATTAAAGGGTAAATGGCCTGTATTTGATAAAGTGCCTTCTAGAGTCCTGGGTTCTTTACAACACAATCAGTCATTCACCCATTCACACACACACATTCACACCCTGGTGGGGATGAGCTACGATGTAGCCACAGCGCTGGCGCCACCGGTCCCTCGACCACCACCAGGCAAGGTGGGTTAAGTGTCTTGCCCAAGGACACAGCGACAGACTGAGCTGGGCTCGAACCTGCAACCTTCCGATTACAGGGCGAGGACTTAACTCCTGTGCCACCGTCGTCCATATTACAGCGTCGATTTTTCCATTCAACCAAATTTGGTCAAATATTCAGGTTTGATCAGTATCTCATTGGGTTGGGTGGTTTTCAACTTGTGGGAGACAAAAATGACAAAAAAAAACATTTTAGGGTAAAATCACACTGAACTGGTGCCGTTCAAACATTTGAGTTGTTTTAATAGTTTACTCACGAGGTGCAAATTACGTGAATGCAAATAGATTCTAACTCACAAAATGTGAAATTATTAATGCTTCCATACAGGCTTCGACCCAAATTTAGAAAAAAAACCTCCAGTAATCTGGAGACCAAAGCAAGGTTCAGTGAGATGCTGCTATTAAAGGAGTCATTCATTCGTTTCAATACATTTTAGTTTAGATGAATGGGTGAGTCATTATCTGTGGGGGAAAACAACCTCTGAATCAAGTTTTGCACGAAGTGGTAGTTTTGACTCTTGATAGGCAAATGTCTTGTTTATGTTTGGCAAACACCAACGGGACTCTTCCACTGCTTTCCTTTGCTCTTTTCTGGGTTAAAAATGCAACGTTGATGTTTTATCTCCACAAATAACACAAGTCCAAAAATGTTCCGCCATGTTGAGGAGCTGCTAATGCTAACGGTTAGCTTCTACTGGCTAAGACGTGCTCGATTCTCTCCTGGACATTGAATCAACATCAGCCTTCTGCGGTCAAACGCCAACATGGGTGAGTCCCTGAATGCTAATTTAAAGTCTAGCAGCTGTGTGGGTTTTCTGATCTGAGATTTTATGTCTATTTTCTTTCTGTGGCTGATGCAGGAAATAGGGGTAGAAGGCTATTTTCACATTCAGCTTGCACGTTAAACTCTGATCGTACTTCAAAAAGAACCAAAATGACACTTTTTTCAGTGAGCCTCACATTTGACACCTGGGAAGCCTAAATAATAAGAAAACGACCAATAAATTAGCCCAAAATGTCTAACGCTGAACTTGTGTTGTCAAATGGTGTCTTCCTTCAAGCTGAAGCACGCGCAACACTCAGGCCTGCTGTACATTGTGGAGCATTTTAAATTTGCACAGATCATTAAACCTACAGTATATTGTAGGCAACCCATTCAGATTTATCAAAAACATTGTAAAAAAAAACCCTCTCTTCAGCACATTTCAGCTTTGTTATTCAGTTTGAAGGCAGTGCGGAGCTGGCTATGTCTGTCTGTTGCACATTATGGTGTGCAGAGAGCATGGCAGCAGGAACCCCCGCCTGGAGCACTGAGACGGTGGTCTACGTGAGCTCCCTGTTATCAGATGCCAGCAAAATGCCACTCTGCCTCTGTAGATGCACTGATCTCCTCCTCATGCATTCACAGGGAAAGGTCAGACAGCCACAGAGCAAATTTTATTTTACATAGAATGACAGGACACGCCACAGGCCAAAAACATAAGGTTACAGAGACACGAAAAACCGTAAAGGTTATAATTTTGCTTAAAAAGGAAAACAAAATCCACAATCGCACATCACTAATGTCTGGTTTTCCAATTAGTCGAAACAAGGAAAGTTAATGTAGTGTTGCAGCGTTGCTCGGGTAATGCCCGCGTTCTTCTTCATTTGCCTCTGTCTTCTGTCACATCATCAATAAAAAGGAGTGACCTGGCGCCATTAGCATCCACGCGTGACCGTGTCATCACGTGTCTCAGAGAGGATGTATGATCCGGATTATGAGCCGTTCCAAAATATCTTTTTCTTCCTGTAATTCTGTCCCAGGTTAAATTTAGTTTGATCTTCTGTAGATGATCCAGAGCAGGTCGGTCCGTTTTTGTGGTCTCTTGGTGGAGTCTAGCCCGGTCTTTGAGGATGATGAAATGCTTGCACCTTCAAGTGGACTCTGTATTTGCTCTCAAGAAGCTTTTTATAAAAAATGTGGTCGGGTTATGAAATGCCGGTCTCCTAGAGAGTGTTCTTCACCTGTCTGGATGCTGTCGAGTGTTTTTCTTCACCGTGTGTTGTCCTTTGAAGACATCTAGGTCCTTTTATGCCCCTGAGATCACCACTGTGTTCTTTTTTGTCCCAGTTTCTTTCTCCTCAGCATGTACCAACCTTTCATTTGGCCACTCTTGCTTTCTTGAGTTTTACTGATAGATAAAGCATTTTTTGTGTTTTTAGCCCCTTAAAAAGTGACCTATTTAATTTGCCGTGAAAAGAAGAGGCATCCAGTTAAGACTGATTTAAGATCTGGAGTCAAATCTGACTGAATACATGAAGAGAATAAGGAAATCGTTCACACTGCGTACTTCAATTTGAGAAAAAGCCTTTCGTAAAAATAACATATGAACGCTCATGACAGTTTATCATGTGAGTACAACATAGGCAGAGCTGTCAGACTTTAAATGTTATATTTTTATAAACATAAGGGTTTAGTGGAAGTTTGTGAGGAAAATAAAAATATGGAGTTTGTGTTCGAAAGATAAGGTTTGATGAAATAAATATATTTCTACATATACAGCACTGTCCTGATTAACAACATTATCCAGATATCTTTGCCCAAGCGGGCAAGATCTTTATGACAGGTCCCGCCAATTCTGGGACCTACCAATCAAAAGCGAGCTTCCATGATTTACATCATGAACCTTACAGTGAACTCTCTGGAAAGATGAAAGTCAGGAGGAGTAAACAGGAGTTTCTGTCTGAACTCAGGATGAACCTTGAGCAAAAAGTTGGGTTAATTTGCTTAAAGGAGCAATTTGTAAGAATTCTACAGTGAAATAAGCAGAAAACTGTTCAATGTCTCCGACATGTTGGATGGAAGGTTGTACTGAAACAGATTTCCTTCTCAGTCGGCTGGGATTTGTAACTTGTTTAAAAAAATAAAAAGGGACGTAGTTACAAGATACGCAGGAGGGACCGTGTCTCTCGGCTGGCCAGAGGACGCCTTGGGATTCCCCCGGAAGAGCTGGCCCAAGTAGCTGGGGAGAGGGAAGTCTGGGCCTCTCGACGTCCGCTGTTGCCCCCGCGACCCGACTCCGGATTACCAGAAGAAAATGGATGGATGGATGACCGTAGTTACTGTTTACACTCTGTGGGCCAGTGAGGTTGCCATATCTGAGCATAGCTACACTTTAGTTGTAATTCAACACCAGGCATGAAGCTCCAGAGTGGTTTGAAGAACCAAGCAACCAGGAGCAACCCAGAAGTTATTCAAGATAATTTATTGTCATTCTAGTTTTTAGTATAACAACTGAGATTTGACACTAATCAGAACTGTAGTACACACTTTCAGTAGAGTCCTGCAGCTTTCCCATGTGCACTAGTCTCATCAAATATTTACTTGTTGGCTTTTTGTCACTTTAGGTTCTGCAAGTTGGACCAACACACACATTTGAGTATTGGTGATATTTAAGACAACAGTTTCCTGTCATTAATTGAAGAAACATCTCAGTATTTCTAACTAAGCCAGAGCTGGTGGAAAACCAAACTCACGGCACTCTCCTGCATTAAACTGCAGCCCTATTCTTCCACTTTAAAACACACAAAGTGGACTAAAAAGAGGCGCTAATGCAGGAGGTGCACTAAGGTGAAGTGAAAACAAGCATTTCCTGGAATTTACAACACTTATAGTTCACTTAGTGTTATAAAAACATTATGGGTAGGAAAGCAAAGTATTTTTTAAAACACCTGTTCAACAAGCACACACAGTTTTCCAAGTGTCCATTACATAATCATAGAGTGCTGGGAAATGGTGTCATGAAAGCACTGAATACTGGTGAAAAATAACTTTAAATGTTGATAAATGATCCTGTTTAGATGTTGTGTCTACAGACATAAATGTATAAGCGACTGACAGAAGGACGCCCCTTTAACAGACTGATGAAAGGCAGACACGCTGTAATAAGTCTGAAAAAGGTTTTCCGCTTACATTGCACTTCCAGGTATTTGTGTGCTCGGAAGTCCTTGACTGCAGGGTGATCCACAATGCAAATCACCGGAACACCATCGTCCTCCTTACTGACAGTGAACGCCACCCGACTGGTTACTGTGTACATCTTGTCGTAGGTCAGCTCTACTCTGGGCTTTCCTGTAAGAAATAAACAAAAAATATGTTTAATTACTTGAAGATAAGTTTAAAAATGACCACCTGCCAAAAGGGTACAGGTGGACCGTGATGTAAGATCTCATGAACCTGAATGTGGACAGATTTGTATACAAGTCTCAGGAAGTTTTTACTGCATATTCTTTGGGTCAACCCAATAGAAGATGGCCGCCACCTACACAAACCGTCATCTCCATCCTATAGTACAATCACTATGGGCTTCATGCCAGCCCGTTGAAACGTTCCTCATGAACCACGAAACAAATGTCGATCAAACTCAAACACTTGGAGTCAACTCCATTCAAGATGGCCACTACTTTCAACTGACATTTGAAAACACAATAAATTAAAATTTTTATTTCTGAAGGTCACTAGGTGGACTGGTGCTGCATCTGCAGACACATGACCCTACCGCTTCACCTGCTGTATCAACGACAGGTTCGGTCCGACACAGCCCCGGTGTGTACGAGCGGCCAATACTTGCAGGACCTGAGAACTCACCTGCTTGCAGCATTCTCGTTCGCACAGGCATCTCTGGAAAAGTCAGCTGAAGGCAGAAAAGCTTATTACGATAAGAAAGCCTCACATTCCGAACTCGATGTAGGTGATCAGGCCTGGTACTACATTTTCGCTCCCAAAACGGGTAACAATAATGCGACCTCGGGGAAGCTGGCTAAGAAACTTTTGCCCAGATGGTCGGGTCCATACCTGATTACAGATAAGATCTCTCCGGTCGTGTATCAGATCAAGATCGCAGACAAAAACAAGGCGCCCGTCTACAAATGGGTACACAGGGACCATATCAAACTGCACAAGGGTCCCACAGATTTGGCCGATACCAACAACAACAATCCACTGACTTCAAAAGGGGGGTGATGAATACGTCCCGTTGGTTCCACAGATTTCTATCTCTGATTACACAAATTAGTTTGTGAGTGTACATGGTTGTCTTTCCTGTTATACGTCACGTGCAGACTTAAGGTGTGTTGAGACGGACGTGCTGTGGGCTCCTGGAGTCAGGTAACAGTGAGTGGGTTAGGCCACATAGTACTGTTGTCCAAAATTTTGTTTTTTTTAATCTTTACTAATCACAATTCCTTAGGGGTACATTAACATGAACATGATTACTAACCACTGATTTACATTTTAGTACTGATTTACATTTCTGTTTTTTTATAGTACCTTTGACCAGTTGATTTTACCAGTGAAAATTATGTTTGTGATTATCAATTCTACGGGGCTATAACCAATTTTGCCCCTGTCCTGACACAAGTATTTACAGTGAGGATTCACTGATACCAGTTAGGGTTTCTTTCATTTTTCTGCTTCTCGCATCATCCCTTTTTGCATCTTACACAGTCAGGGCTGCATCCATTTCTTCACTTAATGGGTAATTACACATAAAACTAACACAGTACAAAAGGCACTCATAGAGTTAGGTTTTTATTATTTTTATTTCTTTGATCAAATCAAATCAAATCAACTTTATTTATAGAGCGCTTTCACATGGCCAGAATGGACAAACAAAGCGCTGTACATCAATAAAATGCCACACAATAGGACAGAGATATGACCATTAAAATACATTAATAAATCCATTAAAATACACTAAAAAATCCCTGTAAAATACCGTAATAAATCCTATAAAAATACAATAAGAAATCCATTTTAAAATACAGTACAAAAACCTGAGTGCCAGTTCACAGTCCATATCCGGCCTACTTCCCCCAACTTCAACGTCCAAAAGCCAGCGAGAACAGATGTGTTTTCAGTCTTCCTTTAAAGGTTTCTAATGACTTGGCCTGTTTTACATCGGCTGGCAGCTCATTCCAGAGACTTGGTCCAAGTACTGAAAAAGCTCGACTACCACGAGACTTCAGGCTGTACCTAGGCACAGTTAGTAATCTCTGGTCAGCTGACCTAAGGGAACGCACCGGGACATGCTGGTGGATGACATCGGAAAGATATTTAGGAGCCCCTGTGTTTAACGCCTTGAACACAAACAGGAGGACCTTAAACCTGATGCGATAAAAAACAGGGAGCCAATGCAAGGCACGTAGGACTGGTGTTATATGTTCAGACCTCCTGGTAGATGTTAACAACCGGGCTGCAGAGTTCTGAACCGCCTGGAGGCGTGCTACTGGAGCTTGTCCAAGCCCCGCATATAGCGAATTACAGTAATCCAGCCTGCAGGTAATAAAGGCATGGATTACAGTTTCCAAATGATTATGGGACAGAAATGGCTTAATTTTCGCAATGCGGCGTAGATGAAAAAAGCAAGATCTCACAACACTGTTCACCTGAGCATCAAATCTGAGATCTGCGTCCAGTTTTACCCCTAAGTTAGAGACCACCGCCTTCTGATGCGGTGCCAGAGTGGCAAAATCAAGCCCTTGGGCACCTCCTGGGGTCTTTGGTGGTGTGAACAGAATAACTTCAGTCTTGTGTTCGTTGAAACACAAGAAGTTCTGAGCCAGCCATTGCTTGATGTCCTCAAGGCAGTCCAACAGAGGTTGAATGGTGCATAAACCACCACGCTTAATTGGAAAAATGACCTGGCAATCATCAGCATAGAGATGGAATGACACATTGTGTTTACGAAATAGTTCACCCAGGGGTATGAGATATAAGGAGAAAAATAGTGGGGCCAAAATCGATCCCTGGGGAACTCCCCATGGCAGCTCAGCCAGATCGGAGGAACAGTCCCCCAACCTCACACAAAAACTCCTCCCAGTCAGGTACGATCGTATCCACTGAAGTGCCTGGCCCGTAATGCCAACAGACCGCTCCAGCCGTTTTACCAGGATGTTATGATCAACGGTATCAAAGGCTGATGACAGGTCCAAGAGCACCAGAACCACAGCATCACCAGAATCATTTGCCAATAAAATGTCCTCAAGGACAATGTCTTTGATGACATGAAATGCACTTTTGTCGTGTCTACATTGAAGTGCCTGCACTGTGCTCTCTCTCCTCTGCTGAGCTTGTGAGGATCCTGCTTCCTGGGGGTGGATCCGTGACTCGTCATCTGCGTTGACTACTCCTGAGGGTGCTCCGGCTCGTTGGCCTTGGACAACTGTGGTTCCGGCATGGCTGCTGGGACACCTCATTCGTTGGGATTACTGTCACCTGCTCTTCCCTTTTTGTGGATTACGATAAGTACTCTTTCAAAGTTCAATTTTTATTTGGAATATTATTGCCTGCGGATACAACAATCGATTTTTAATTGGAATACTACCCTGTTCGTGGATACGTTCAAGATTTGCTCCTGCTTTGCTTTATTGCCCGTGAGGATATGACGTTGCTGTTGCTTCGTTTATGGCTTCCATGGGGAATAATTAATAACCTGCTGACTTGTGTTCTTCCTGAGGAGTATGCAAGACTGTTCTCCGGCGTGGAGTTCGTACCTCACCACATGGCTGTTCCCTTGGGGTCGCATCCTGTTCTGTTGTCAAGATTCTTCATAACTTGGGTTTGTTCAACGACCAAGTGGTCTCTTGAAGGACCACATTGACCTTGAAAAGGGGGGATATGTAAGGTTATGAAGTTCATTGTTTTCAACTCCACACAGCTGCCCCCTGGGCACAATAACACCCGTGTAGAAAAACCAAGGTCGGGTGTTCCTCAGACTGTTTACATTCCAGGAGAAGAGTCCGAAGGAGAAGAAGAAACTTTACTTAATCAAAGTACTTTATTTGTGATTAAAATTATTAAGCAAAACAGATGTTGATCAACAATAATCAAGTGAATGATCTGTGAAATAAATATGTCATGATTTATGTTTAATGAAAACAGGACTACGGCACAGACATACTGATCCTCATCTCCATAGAAACGCATGACACATTGTTCCAACCAATCAGAGCTTTCGGCTGCCGCAGGAGAATCTGGTGTTGACTTAAAGTGTCCAATCCACTTTACTCCAACTTATCAACAATTCAGAGATATAAAACAAGGCAACGCCATTTTAAGCTCAGTTCCATTTTGACTTCAGTTCTATTCACCGTCATCCTAAAGAAAAGCACAGACTGGCCAGATGTGTTTTCTTCTTTGAACTAAGAACTGTGAAACGGGAGATTTTCGTCGTTTAACAACCAGACGACGTCCTTTCAAAATAAGAGCACCTGCTGACGCTGCCGAACGGTACCGGGTCGACCCTCCAGACGGGCTTTGAAACGTTGCGACCGCTGCGCCGACAGCTCCAGCGCACATCCGAGGTTCTTGGACCTGGCATTTCCTGATCTACCTGGGAGGCCCCCACTGGGTACGTACACGGCAAAATAGCAGCTCATGTCATCACTTTATAAGCCTCGTGATATCTAGTCATAACAAAGACTACCAGATTCAATGACGTCAGCCTAAAGAGTCTGAACCAACCACACACACACACACGCACCAACACGACATCCAAATCCATTTTCATCCATCACAGAGTTAGTCCTGGTAGATTGTTTAGAATTTATAATTACGAAATTAAAGATTCTCAAACGATCCCATCTCTCTCTCTTTTCTTGTCTCAAAGTCAATACAGAGTGTTTAAATGAACTCCCTGATGATAAAAACAACCTATTCTTCTGTTTATAAAAAGTGAACTACCTACAGTGTATTAAAATACAACTCTAGATAGTTTCATCACTTCATTTCCGTTACAGCTGGAAGGCGAAGCTCTCGATGTACCGGTCGATCTACGTTCCTACCCTCACCTATGGTCACGACCTTTGAGTGGTGCCTGAAAGAAAGAGATCACGGATACAAGCGGCCAAAGTTTGTTTTCTCAGCAGGATGTCTGGGCTCTCCCTTAGAGATAGGGTGAGAAGCTCATCATCCAGGAGGGGCTTGGAGTAGACCCGTTGCTCCTCCACATCCAGAGGAGCCAGTTGAGGTGGCTCAGACATCTAGTTAGGATGCCTCATTAGTGAGGTTTTCTAGGCATGTCCAACCAGGAGGAGACCTAAGGTAAGACCCAGGACACACTGGGCCAGGGA